AATCACTTCATAAAACGTAACTCTGCTATTAAGTCATACCCAACATTTCTATCAACCTCTACACAATACGACAGACCCCAAGTCTTACACATTTGTATAGAGGTGGACCTCAGCAAAGATGCTTGACCCGGCACGCGTTCAACAAGGTTTACTGAATTGAAGAATGTGGCCCACATACAACAGTGGGCCAACAGACTCCCAGCTTCCCCGTGGGCTCTGGCTGGAATCGCTCAACCTTTTTACTGCCGGCCTCTCCCAACAGCGGCCTAGTGACCAGCTCTGCTCGGACCGCCTAACGGAGAAACTCCGCAAGCGGGAGGTGGCGGTCCGAGCCCGTAGTAAAGCCAGCCTCACGCACCGAAATCCCAGGCCAAACCCCACGCCTAAGTAGTAGGCGCACAGTAACCCCGCGCCGAGCGCGCACGGCTTCAGACCGGTGGGAGCGCAGCTAAAAGCGCCCCACTCCCCGCCTCCTCACCTTGCAATCGTTACGAACGAACATCATGCCGTGGCCTGGGTAGATAGGGCCCGAACAGAAATAGCACTTTTCAATCCGCATGTTTAATGCGCGTGGAGACTTCCCGGCCGAACACCCAGCTGAAGAGGAAGTGACGTAGCCCCGCCACAGGAAGTGATTCTCTTCCCAGTTCTCCAGAAAGAGCATCCGGAAAAGGCGGTGCTCTTCAGGGCTTCTGGAAAGCGAGCCGAACGTGACCGCGCCTCCTCGCGGCCGCGCCGGGAAAAGCACTGACGTTTGAGGCAGGCGCAGAAATGCAGAGTCGGGCTGGCCCCTGTCAGCCTGGGTAAGTGCAAGGTTCTGCGCCTTCTGAAATGGCTGTTAGAGCATCTAGTTTTTCCACCTACCGTATCATATTAAGTCAGCATTTACTCATATCTTATATATCCTGTCTCTAGTTTGTGCTGTTCCCAGGCGGCTCTCCACACTTGGCTCGTCTCTAGGAACTCATTTCTCCATGGCTCGAGCCCCACCGGATTCTGGTCCCTAGAGGACTTGCCTGGTGTCCCCGGCGAGAACCTGCTGCCCCGCACGGCAACCGAAGCTGCTGAGTCTCAGGCTCACAGGACTTAAACAGCGGTGTTTAAAAATCTTAGTGGTGGTCTTCTCCACCTTTACTCCCTTCTCCGCCTTTTAATTAATATACATATATTTAATTACTAGACATTAAAAAAAACCTATTTGTACAGGAAATTGGTGCTTTTGAACTGTGGTGTTGGAGAAGACTCTTGAGAGTCCCTTGGACTGCAAGGAGATCCAACCAGTCCATACTAAAGCAGATCAGTCCTGGGTGTTCATTGGAAGGACTGATGTTGAAGCTGAAACTCCAATACTTTGGCCACCTGATGCAAAGAACTGACTCATTTGAAAAGACCCTGATGCTGGAAAAGATTGAAGGCAGGAGGAGAAGGGGGCGACAGAGGATAAGGTGGTTGGATGGCATCACCGACTCAATGGACATGGGTTTGGGTGGATCCCGGGAGTTGGTGATGGACAGGGAGGCCTGGCATGCTGCGGTTCATGGGGTCTCAAAGAGTCTGACATGACTGAGCGACCGAACTGAACTGAACTGGAGCCCTAATACTCCCTCTCTCTGGCTCTCTTAACCTCTCTTGTACCTTATCTGTCTCTGCTGAATTCTGTGTCATTTCCTCCAGTCTTATCTTCTAGTTTACCCATTCTCTTTTCAGACTTGCCATTTAACCTCTAATCATTACATTTTGAATGCCAGCGGCTACATTTTCCATACATGGAAGTCTTTTTCTAAATTCAAACCAGTCATGTATCTTTAATAAAGTCTTCTTTTCTCAAACATTTCAATTCCTTTTATGTTTGTAATTATTTTATGATCTCCATATGGTAAGCATATTATTTGAAGTTCTTAAGTGCCATATTGCTGGATTTTGGTTCACTGGCCCTTGCTCATGTTTGGGGCTGAAGCTGGTGGGGAAGGAACGGGTGTTCATTTTAAATAGTGAGCTCATCCTTAGTAGGTGTTTTCTGTAAAAATTCTGTAAATTCTGGGTGGAAATGTTCCCTCTGAAGAGATTCTGTTTGCTTCTCCAAAGTAATCTAGAGGTATTGCCAGTCACAAATTATTTTATGTTAGTTTATGTTCATTTTTTGCCTTAAACATTTCCGGGGTGGGGGGGACAGGAGAGGAGTAATGGAAACTTGAATCTTAAACCTGTGTAAAAGCACACTTATGGTTATAAATTCGCAAGGGAGATTAATAAGACATAGACCAGGCCCTGGCTTTGAGTGTGTTTGGGGTTGGGAGGCCCTCCATTCCAGCGTTCTACCTTCAAGGAATCCAGAGTTTTCTCTCATGATGGCATGTAGCCATTAACGCTGAGCACCTTGATTACTGATCCTGCAAAATCCAAACCAAAAGCAAACCACATCCAGCATCAGCTTGTTACAAGATCCCACTGTTGTTGCCAATGCTGTTGTTGTCTGTTTTGTGGGAAAAGAGGGATGGTCTCTAGGTATTATCCTTACTTTCTTAAGATATCAATAGTTCATTTAAAAAATACATTCATTATATTTTATCCAGCATTATCAAGTGTTTTATATTAGAAGAGTTTTCTAGTTCTAAACTCATCCATCTTGCCAAAAATAGAAGGCCTGAAAATACTATATAGAGTTTTCCAGGTTATAAGAAGCCAAACAAAGCATTCTTTATTGTGCAAAAATAAACAAATGGGGACTAATTAAACATATAAGCTTTCGCATGGCAAAGGAAATCATAAAACAAAAAGACAACCTATAAAATGGGATAAAATACTAGTAAACAATGTGACTAACAAGGGATTAATTTTCAAAATATACAGACAGCTCCTACAACTCAATATCAAAAAAAAATTTTTTTAAATGGACAGAAGATCAGAATAGACATTTCTCTAAAGAAGACAGGCATATGAAAAGATGCTCAACATCACTAATCATTAGAGAAATGCAAATCAGAACTACAATGACATATTACCTCACACCAGTCAGAATAGCTATCATCTAAAAGCCTACAAATAATAAATGCTGGGGAGGGGGTGGAGAAAAAAGAATCTTTCAACACGGTTTTTGGGAAAGTAAATCCGTGCAGCCACTATGGAAAACAGTATGGAGATTTCCTTTAAAAACCAAAAAATAGAGTTATCATATGATCCAGCAATCCCACTCCTGGGCATATATGGAAAAGACAAAAACTAATTTGAAAAGATACTTGCACTCCACTGCTCCTAGCAGCACTATTTACAACAGTCAAGACATGGAAACAGCCTGTCCCCATTAACAGATATATGAATAAAGAAGATGTGATTATATATATAATGGAATGGAATATTACTTGGCCATAAAATATTAATTTTATGGCCATAATAATATTACATACAATGGAATATTACTTGGCCATAAAAAGAATGAAGTAATGCCATTTGCAGCAACACTATCATACTAAAGAAATTAAGTCAGGCAGAGCAAGATAAATACTATATGATATCTCTTAAATATGGAATCTAAGAAACAGTACAAATGAATTTATTTATAAATCAGAAACAGACTCACAGACATAGGAAACAAACTTATGGTTTACCAAAGGGGAAAGGAGGAAGGAGGACTATATTAGGAGTATGGGGTTAACAAATACACACACTACTGTATATAAAGCAAACAACAAGGCCCAATATATAGCACAGGGAACCATATTCAATAGCTCGCAATAACCTTTAGTGGAAGAGAATCTGAAAAGGAATATACACATATATGTTATATATTCATATATACATATACAATGTTAGCAAAGAATTACTTTGCCAAAACAGATTGTAAATCAACTACAGTTCAATTTTTAAAAACCCCTAATTGGGAATTTCCTGTTCTGTCCAGTTGTTAGGGCTCCACACTTCTACTGTGGGGGGCAAGGGTTTGATCCCTGGTCAGGGAACTAAGATCCTGCATGCCACTTGGAACGGCCAAAAAAATAAAAAAACCCAAAAGTCCATATTGAACATTTCTTCAATGGATCGTTAGCTATCTTGACATCAACTTCAAAAGATCACAATATATTTCTCAGAGTTTCTAATTTCTGATAATAAACCAATATGGACTTATTTTATGAGAATCTTTCTAAACATTTTGAAGTCTTGGACTCTAACTTTGAAAACTCTTTCATTTGACTCTGCTACATCTTAAGTCCTTTATTCAGTCCAATAGCCATTTGAGTACCTACCGTGTCCCAGGCCTTTTCCGGGTAGCAGCAACACAGTTTTGAAGAAAACTTCCCACATTCTTGTCCTCATGGACCTTATATCTTAGTGGATAGAGACAAACATTCAAATATATTGAGTGATGATAAGTGACATGTACAAGAACAGAGCAGAATAACAAGGCAGCAGGGGACAATCTGATAGGGGCCATGAGAGGGAGTGACTGCTATTTTATAGAAGGTGATCAGCAAAGTCCTTTTGGACAACATGACATTTGAATTGTCCTACAGGGTGGGAGAGGGAGCCATGTAGATATATGGAAGACAAGCATTCCAAGCAGAGGGAACAGCAGATATTCCAGGAACACACTTGACTGCTCCAGGGAGGCCAGTATGCTCACAGAGGAGTGAGTGAGGGAGACAGGGTGGTAGGAAATAAGGTCAGAGAGTCCATCTCCCCGTATTCCCTCCTCCTCCCGTTCAGCACTACACCCTCCGCAAGGCTTCCCGCATCCCATCTCAGCCCCAGTCTGAGTTCAAGCCTTTGCCATCCTTGCTTTGTCCACCTGACAACAGCTGGCGCAACACTTCACGCACAGCAGGTGCTCCATCAGGGTTTGATGACGACATGTGTGAGTCACCTTCTCCGGAACATGGTATCTTGGCCGGTCCCTCATCAAGTACCCAATGGAATTTGTGTCTCTGAATGTGCTTTCCTTTAGCATTACATCCTCTGGGTTGAAACTTTCTTGTAAAGGGAAATGAAGTTATGTTCACACACAATGACAGATTAAACCATTTTTTTTATTATAAGCTTATCTGGCACAAAATTCACTGAAGATACACTTCACTTTTACACAAGTCTGTAAACAGAAAAATACATTGACACACAAGAAAGCTTATGTTGGTGCTTCAAAGTAAATTTAAACAAATGATTTTCAAAGAGTATACCGGTTGTTGATGTCAATAACTGAAAATGGCTCTTGTGTGTGCACTGTATCATGCATATATTTCATTGTGTATTATGTTTAAGGCCAATAGAATCTGTACGAATTGCTCATTTGGTTCCTGATAGGCTGACACAATACAGATATTATTTTCTTTTTTGCTATACAAATAAATCATATAAAATGTTCCCTGGTACAGAGCTATAAAATTATTTCCTCCACTTAAGTCTTACAGCAATTTTACAAGGCACTGCTTATGATGAGGACCCTGTCTTTGAAATATGTGGATCTTTTATCACTAGGATACACAATTCAAATGCACAGGACTCAGTGACTTCTTGGTATTTTTAAAAGATAGAAATATATAAGATCTTAGAAAGCACAACTAAGTTTCTTAAGCAGGTGGTGGAAGGACAGTGGCAAAAAAAAAAAACCAGAACAGATAGTCCATAAAAAGCCGATTGAAAATTATCATATACAAGTAGTTATTTTTCATCATAGTTGTATTTTTCTAATTACAGTTATGCCATCACAAAATATATTTATTTTTATTTTTTATTTAAATTATAATGAGTGGTATTTCTTCCTAAATAGCCATTAAGTTCTTTGGAAATTTTAATCTATTTAAACTACTTTAATAAATAAGAATTTTCCCCTTTGATTTTTATAAACAACTGCCATGAAGCATATTTTGAAACACACCTTTAATTTGGTAAAAAAGACACTTTGGCAGTGTGGAAGAGTACATGACCTTGGCAAGATCCAGCAAGTATAGTAAATACCCATGATCTCAGTGAAAACTACAGGCTATAGAATATTTTGTTTTTCTATTTTGAAACAGAATACGAATGTAACTGCTTAAATACAAACATCCATCTTTCACCAAACAGTATAAACAGACATGTTATGTAATTATAAACTAATTCCTTCAATTCCACCCATATAAAAACAAAACAAGTTTCAAAGATCAACAAGATAGAGCCTGATGGTGAAAAAAAAATGATGAGTCGTCATAAGCTAATTGAAACTGCAGCCTGAGGATGCCAGCCCAACATTATAAATATGAAGAAAAAGAAGCTAAATATTTGCTTATCACAAATAACTTCAACATAAGCACCAGCTATGTTCAGATAGGGCCAGCACATAGGCCAAGTATAAATGCACAGATCACTGTGAACTAAAGGCATAAAAATCTAATTACCTGACCCTTCCATCAACCTTTCAGAGCAAAGGGAATCGAGTGGGGAGCCAGAAGTCCCCACTTCAGCCGCTTACAGAACACTAGACCACCCCAGTCCTTACTCTCAAGGCCCTTCCCACCAAAAATGGCCACAGAGAGCATGAAATTGATCAATCCAGTTTATCCAGGGCCTATAGATATGGCCAATCATTTGTCCTATATTCATTTTAAAGAGAATGCTTACATAAATTATACTCAAGACATTGAACCATCATTTGTGTATATTCTTATTTAACATTTAAATTGTTTAGAAGACATTTTAGAAAGTCCCCTGTGGTGCAAGAAGGGTCTTAAATCTGTGTTAAAGACTGCGTAAAAGACCTTCTAAGATCTCAAAGGTGAGACTCTGGGCCTATCTATGGTAAAGCAGGGATGGTATCTTCAGTCATTCTACATAATAAATGCGCTGTTCTGTGGCTACAAAATCCTGAAACCTTGAATGATCTACTGCCATGGGGCTAATGTCTTATAAGGCACTTTTGGCTATGTGAGATATTTTGCCTAACTCTCAGGCTGAATCTTAAAGAATATTTACAAAGCTGCAGCAAAGTAATTTTAAAACAGGATGCTTTACTGATAGGTTTAATTGGGATGGTGAGAAGCAGTTTGTACGCAAGGCCTGTTTGTCTCTCTCTGAGTCATGTATCACCATAGGGAAGGTCACAGACATGGGCCCCTTGAATGGATGTTCAGCTCACTAGCCCCTTCAACAGCCACATGACCCCTTCTCCTTTTCTTCATTCAGCTGATCTGCAGAGGTGTGACCATTGGAACGCACCACACCTTCAGGAATCCAGGACTTGTCCACACACCGTTCCATTCGCTTCATTATCAGGTCCAGGAGCGTCTCAATCGCTTGGTTTATGTTTGTCCCATTGGCAGCACTAGTTTCAAAGTAGGGGACTCTGAAAGACAGCAACAACTTGGGTTACAGCGTGTGGAGGGAAAGGTCAGTGACCTTTGCCCTTGATAATTCAACTGAGAAAATCAGAAGAATATAAATACATAAGACAAGAAAGGCATTTCACCACATTAAAAAATAAAATAATAACTGACACTGCATTCCTAACAGAGATGTAAAACTTCTGGGAGTTTTAATCCCCATTTCACAAATGATGAAACTATAGCTCAGAAAGATGAAGTAATGTGCCCAATATCATAATGCTAGAAAGGGGTGGAACCAGGATTTGAATCCACAACTATTCAAGTGTAACCAACTCAACCATAGGCTCTACTGGTCCCAAATTTACATAATGTTGTATGAAGTTCTCTAAAACAGAGAACTCTCGCTTGCTGTCAATGGGGAAAAAAAAATACAAGCCGACATGAGACATCAGAGGTCCCTGGCTGTATTTGTCAAAGGCTTGGCCACTTGTCAGCTCCAGGCAGTATTCCTGGACCACATCCTTGAAGACAAGACATTCAGAATTCTACAGCACTTCAGGGTTCCTCAAGCATATCAATCTTAAGCATGTTTATTTTGTTATCCCAGGACCTGAGATTAGGAATAATTCTTTAGTAACTCACAAAGCATCATCTCAAAACTATGAGGTTATTTTTCACATGTTCTTAAGACATCACCAGTCTTCTTGCAGTGGTCACCCTTCATACTTGATCTTTGCAAGTGGATTAATCAATTACCTGCCAAATTCTTCCTCCTTAATAAAGCCATGAAAATAATGATACAACTATATGTTCTTCAAACTGTTGACTTCATTCCCACCACTTAGTAAGGAGTCTGACCAAAAATACTCTTAGATGCAAAAACTACATTAGATTAGTTTTTACATTAGATGTAAAAACTACAAAAGAAAGTTGTTTGGCCCCTTCAAGAGTCCTGCAATTGAACTCAGTAAAATATTCCTTACATTCATAAATATCTTAACATCCACCTCTATTATCCTGAAGAATGTCTTTGTTTTCCTGGGTTCTCATAGCACGTTAACACTACATCAGTGACTCTGATTGCAATTCCAGTAGTTCTTGCATTTCTTCCTGACCAGGAGCAGCTTCCACAGGAGAGCTTTAGCAGAGTTGCTTTAACCTTCTCAGTGCTTTGACAGATATCTTCAGAACTGTTCTGCTTCCTAAGAAGCACAGTGGGGCTACATGTGGAGGCATGGAAGGTTATCTGTCCATTACAATTCCTCAAGATGCTGCTTGTTATCTGCTTGCTTCCTACAGGAACTAACAGGCCTTGCAACTGGACTCTGTATTCTCTCCTGTTGGAGCGTAACTCATAAAAACTGCTTGAGGAACCATCACTTCATTTGAGCATTTATCCATCTATCTGTGAGGTCAGATGGACATAGCTGTTCCACTGATTCTACCATGCCAATGTTCATAGCCCTTCATATGCTGACTCTAAAATACCTTAATCAGGTGCTTTCCTGGTGGTCCAGTGGCTAAGAATATGCCTACCAAGGCAGGGGACAAGGGTTCAATTCCTGATCCAAGAGGATCCCGCATGCCAAGCAGCAACTAAGCCCATGTGCCACAACTACTAAAACCCTGATGCCCTAGAGCCTGTGTGCTCAACAGGAGAAACCACCGCAACGAGAAGCCCGTGCGCCACAACTGGAGGGCAGCCCCCACTCACCGCATCCGGAGAAAGCCTATGTACAGCACCAGAGACCCAGCACAGCCATAAATAAATAAATCTTTTTAAAAATAAGTAAAATATCTTCATCAGAGAAGGTCTCACTGGCCAAATTACATCATCTTAGTGATTTTTAAACCTCTTGCCTGGTTATCTCTTTGGTTACTGTCAGTCTTTTTTTTTTTCCCCCTACATCTTCATCTGGTGCCTTATTCACAAAATGAAGGAAATGCATTTTTCCCATCCCCCTGGTCACATGTAGTATTCCTCTACCAAGTTTGAAGAAGACATTCTTTGTGGAAACTCAATAAATACTTATTTATCAACTACCTATGTTACTGAGTTAAGTCCCAGGGACACTTTTCGATGCTGCCATTCTTACATGAACTGAATTTTAGATTAAGAATTCTCAAAATTTAAACACTTAGATTTTCTCCATCGTGCTCTTCTCAGTTACACCCAAGAAGAATCATTTAATGTCTAAGAATATTGCTTATACTTAAGGAGAAAGCTTGATCATTCTATCACCGTTCAGAAAGCCACTGTTTCATGAAAAAGCAACTGAAAAATTCATCTCTCCCTATGAGAATAATGGGTTGAAATTGGAAATACAAAAATAAAAAAGCAGTTGAGCAGAAAACTTTCTTGTAAACGCTGGTTACAATGGTTCACATCTCATTTTTAACATTTCCTCAAAGTCCATCATATATATCTTTCCAACTATAGAGTCCTCAGCCTCACTGAATTCCTCAAAAGGATTTCTCTCCATTAAGCTATTTCTGTTTTTCATAGTTTCTTCCACCTCAGCTCCTAATATCCCATAATCATTTAAAGGCATAAATGAAAAAATTACAAATAATCTAAAAATGATAAAACCTATACATGAGGACTTCCCTGGTGGCTCAGATGGTAAAGAATCTGCCTGCAATGCAGGAGACCAGGGTTTGATCCCTGGGTCAGGAAGATCCCCTGGAGAAGAGAATGGCTACCCAGTTAAAACTACGGTTTTTCCAGTAGTCATGTATGGATGTGAAAGTTGGACCATAAAAAGGGCTGAGCGCCCAAGAATTGATACTTTTGAATTGTGGTGCTGGAGAAGACTCTTGAGGGTCCCTTGGACAGCAAGGAGATTAAACCAGTCAATCCTAAAGGAACTGAATATTCATTGGAAGGATTGGTGCTGAAGCTGAAACTCCAATACTTTGGCCACCTGATGCAAAGAGCTGACTCTTTGGAAAAGACCCTGATGCTGGGAAAGATTGAGACCAAGAGAAGGGGCTGACAGAGGATGAGATGGTTGGATGGCATCACTGACTCAATGGACATGAGTTTGGGCAAACTCTGGGAGATAGTGAAGGACATGGAAGACTGGCATACTACAGATCATGGGGTCACAAAAAGTCAGACATGACTTAGCAACTGAACACCACCACCCACTCCAGTATTCTTGCCTGGAGAATTCCATGCACAGAGGTGCCCAGTGGGCTACTGTACATGAGGTCACAAAAAGTCAGACACTTAAAGACAGTCTGGACAATGGTTAACAACCATAACTTCTGAAGTCAGGTTGCCTAGATTCAAATCCTATTACAACTCCATACTAACTGTTTAGCACTGGCAAACTATAAACATCTGTGCCTCAGTTGCTTTATCCATAAAACCAGAAAATATCATTATCTTCCTATTAAGGATTAACTGAGTTAACATCTAAAGGACTTAGATTGGAGTCTTCCACATAAGAAATGTGTCATTTCTGACAAATGTGTAATTAATAAACATTTTCTATTTCAAACACAGTAATGGGTTACAAAAGTTTGTTTTTTAACTTTGTTGTTTAAAACTCAGAATATATAGAATCACTGAATTGTGGAAAATCATAGCTCCAAGAGACCTTAGCAAGATTTTAAACATTAACTTTTCAGACTAGCCCACAAAAATTGATTCAATCCACTATGAAGCTGATCTATAGTCTTGCCCTAAATTCTGGTAGTCTGAATTATGCTTCCCTACATTAGAGATGGCTCACTCAGATCTGTCCGAGCCAACGTGTTTCATGCTCCAAAGCATTTGTTTCCCTCCAGTTCTTGTCAAACCATACTTACTACCATTCCTTACTACCACAAGTGATCATCACTAAATGCTGAGAGAAAACAGATCTTATTTTACTGATTAATACCATAAATAAGGTTGAGTGCTGAAGAACTGATGATTTTGAACTGTGGTGTGGGAGAAGACTCTTGAGAGGTCCTTGGACTGCAAGGAGATCAAACCAGTCAATCAATCCTAAAGGAAATCAGTCCTGAATAGTCACTGGAAGGACTGATGCTGAAGTTGAAGCTCCAATACTTTGGCCACCTGATGCAAAAAGCCGACTCATTGGAAAAGACCCTGATGCCGGGAAAGATTGAAGGCAGGAGGAGAAGGGAACGACAGAGGACAAGATGGTTGGATGGCATCACCGACTCAATGTACATGAGTTTGAATAAGCTGCAGTCCATGGGGTCGCAAAGAGTTGGACACAACTGAGCAACTGAACAACAATAAATGACAGACGCTTCTAGCAGATCTATGAGCTATTCTCTAATGCTTACTAACTTAAGTAAATACTTACTTGGTAGAATTTCAGGGTATATGAGTGAAAGTATACATTTTGAAGTCACTCATATTAAAAGAGGTACAATATTAAGAAGATATACAGTTTTAATCCCAAATTCTACTAACAAACTAAAAATTAAAAGTATATTTTCTGACCCTTTGTGAACCTCCAGGTGATGTGACCAGGAGTCAGGTTAACAACCTTAAAATCTTCAGACTAATTATTCAGAGTCTTCTAAGCAACTGAGGTAATGCAGTTTTTATCCCTATGGGAATAAATGAATATTAGAGATCACTCCTTGCCACCCTCAGCTCTTTGAGCTGCCAGACAAAAAGTAAACTAAATGAGATGGACAGCAAAGACCCTGAATTAAGACTTTCTTTCCATCATAAAATGATGTCTCTGGGAATTCCCTGGCCGTCCAGTGGTTAGGACTCTGTGCTTTCACTGCTGAGGGCGTGAGTTCAATCCCCGATCAAGGAACTAAAATCCTCCAAGCTATGTGGTGTGACCAAACAAACAAAAAAATGATGCCCTGTGCTCACATTTGAAAATTGGACTGCTCAGCTTGTCCTAAGGGCATAGAAATTCTAGTATAGAGTCAGTTATATTTTTATGCCCATATCTTCCTGATGTTCACTTTTAGAAGGTACTTGGGCTACTTTATCCGAANAAATCACAAATTTTTTAATTTAAGAAAATGACGGGGA